GGACACAGGAAAGGTTCAGGATTCTGGGCTAGAACAGCCCACTGCCTTACCACTCTGTATGTGCTTGGAGGTGTGGGGGAAAACTTTGCAGTGCCCCCTCCAATCTACAGCACCTCAGGGTGGTGAGTTGGCAGCCAGGCCCCTCACCACCATCACCCAGTATACTACCCTCTGGTTCTCAGGTCAATCATGGAGGAAAGAGAAGAGCATCTGTCTTCCTACCTGGGCTTTCCAAAAGAATAAGGCAGAGGAACAACCTCACTTGCTGTGATCAGTGCAATAGCTCAGTGTTCTCCTGGCAGGACGTAGCCATGAGTGATTGACTTTCCTTCTTGCTGCCCTCCTTGGCCCTCCTCTTCCTCAGCTGTGAGTGGTTGATGGGGGTATGGCTCATGTCCCACATTCCCCTACAGTCCCTCTGTCTCTTGTGGGTAGCCTTCTCTGTCAAGGAGAGTAAGAGGCCTCGTCCTTGGGTGTTCTTCTCCAGCCCCTCTTGCTGTTCCTGGAAAGCTCCAGATTGTTTGTCAAGCACAGGAGCAGGAAGATGGTTCATTTTCTTTGTGGGGGCCTCCAGCCAAGGGGGAGGTAGTTGAGGAAACCTCCCTGAAACTAGAGTAAAAAGAAAAAGAAATAGGTAGTAGTAGAGAACATACAATAATAAATGACCAGGAGGTCCAAAAGCTATACAGTATGTGTTCCATAAAGAAAGAATTGAGAAGAAGGAATAGACTCATACCAGCGCATATTGTTATGAGATTTCAAAAAGCTAGAGAAAATGTAAAATTTTTACAAGCTTCTAAAAGAGACGAAAAACAGATCACACATTAAAGAATCAGAAATCAGAATGACTCTAGACATGCCAAATGCAACAGCGAAAGCTAGACGACAACAGAGAGATGCCTTCAACCTCTGAAGAAAATTATTTCTAACCTAAAATTCTATACCTAGCCAAACTGTCAATAAAATGTGAGGGTATAATAAAGACATTTCCAGATATAAGAGCACTCAAAAAATTTACCTGCAGAAACTTCTTGGTAATATGCATCATCAAAATGAAAAATAAGCTAAGAAAGGAAGATGTATATAGTATACATGGATCTAGAAAATGGAAGATGCTACATGGGTAAGAGATGGAATTCCAACAATGATAGTGAGAAAGGGAGATCCCAGGTATGGAGAGCAACCTGTCTAAACCTGAATTTCTGAATGTCTTGCAATGAGAATAATATGATTGGTGAGGAGTTTGCAGTTGAATAAGAACAGAAAAAAATAATTATTATTTGCTCCACTGAACAAAGAGTTATGTTGAAAGTAAAATAATTATAGTTTACTACATAGCAGAGCTGTAAAGGTATTACATAGTCATAATAATGAAAACAATGAATATAGACCTAACCTAAATTCTCATATAATGTTTATATTAGGAAGAGGGATAATGGGCATGTGTGGTGGAGGTTAGGAAAGGAAAGAATGTAAATCCTCATCTTCCAGGATGTTGACTTCATGATGCCTAGCACTGAAACATCGAGAAAGCATTTTATTTAGACGCATCGAGGTAAATAGCTCCAAATTAACCAGCTAAAAGATGTGAAAAATAAAGAAAAAATATTTTGAAAACCACAAATATTTTGAATACCATATTACTTTGCATAAACCAAGCATTGAAAAATATATATTGTCTAAAGTAAAGAATTTTTACTAGGAAATGATTAACAGAAAAGGAAGGAATTACAAAAAAATTATGTATGTCAATGGAAGTAACAATGTGGTAGTTTATTTAAAATAGAATATTTGACCCAAGCCTCAACTGCTTTTATAACTTTACAGGATAAAATAAATAATATAAATGAAACATTAAAATTAAAAAAAAAAAAAAACAGAGATGCAGACAATGCCATGAACAAAGCAGAAAATGAAGCCAGAACAACCACCTGTGTAGAGAGTCTGGGAGGCCATACCTTCACAGTCTCACAGTCTCACACCTTTCAAGGAATGTTGGGTTGAGATCTCAGGAGTGAAACACACACACACACACACACACACACACACACACACACACACAAGGAGATATGCCTATAATGGACAGATTCATCAAAAATAACAAATAAATCCTGACATGTGTCTCTCTGGACCCTGCAGCCCTGAATAACAATCAGAAGTGGGAGGCAGAGAGCATATCAGTGAAGTGACTGAGGCCTGTCTGGAGGAGGAGTGCCCTGAGATGCTCAAAGAGATTGCCTACTACCTAGACTAAGTGTTTACACCTTCTTATGTTCTACTCACCAGCAGTGAGCAAGAGAAGGGCCAAGAAACATCAAGGAGAGGGGATATAAGAGGGTAGATGACCCAGTGGAAGAGAAAAAGGAGACTTTAGAGGTGTGGAAAAGTGGTCCTCAGAATCCTAATTAACCCACAAAAGTACTCTCAAAAGCTCCAGGTACAGGACAAAAATGGGGATAAAAAGGGACATTGTCAGCCCACTCCTGAAATTCAAAAAAGTGTCCTAGGTTCAATTTCTGTTCTTGTCCCGAGCTCCCAGGGAAGAAAGTGGCCTGGATAACGCACAGGGTCCTTTATTACTCTCTCACATTAGTATTTTTAATTTAGTAATGGAAGAAAAACCTAATAACTCAAAAAGAAATAAACCAGCCAGTGACATTTCAAACAAAAAATTCTACTCCTTTGAGCAAATGAAGACAAATATGTAACAGGACAAATTTTTCAGATCAAAGAGGAAACCAGAAGTCCATATGAATAGTCCAGGCTAAGGCAGATTGGAAGGTGTGATTGCCCACCTCCTATGACAGGAAAGGCAGGGCAGGGGACCCAGGTGTGAGGTAGGAGAGGGCACAAAGCCTTTCACAAATCCAGAGAAACTTCCTGGAAAGATTCAAGTTTCAGAGGAGTTGTGAAAGGCTATGATAGCTTGCCAAGAAGAGACAGAAAGATTGCTGCAGACCAGGAGGGTATGAGGCAGCTGAGAGGGGAGGGTCACAAAGTCCTAATATGGAAGTGACCTGAATTTGGGGCCTGGCCACAAGCATTGACTGGTCACACCAGGAAGGACATAGGGGTCCAGAGAACTAAATGTGGGTCCTTCCAAGGTCACTTCTAGCCCACCGACCACAGATCACCAGCAGATTCCCCTACAGGACTGGACCAACTTCAAGTGCACTTTCAGGATGTCCCACTCCAAGAGAGCCTCATTGCCACAAATTATCTCCTCCTTAACAAGTCCTCAGTCACTTTAAAATAGCATGTTGCTCTGCATCTGGGGAACCCCTCTATAAAAAGCCCACCGGCTCCCAAGGGTGCATGGAAAGACCTTCATTTCCATGTAACTGGCTTCCTCTTTGTTCTATGTGTTTTATGTAATGCATTAAAAATTATCATGAAAGGAAACAATAAACAAATAATTTCTCAAAGTTAAGAAAAATAAAACTTGTCTTGGCAAGAGAGTAGATGGCACCAAAGACTAAGAACTGCTGACCTAGAGGGATGTGGTGCGCAGAGAACACAGGCTGTGAGGGAAAAGACGCAGTAGTGGGATGTGCTCATTCATTGGAAGCACTGGAAGCTCATTGGATGGGGGCCCTCCAGAATCTGACTCCAACTTCCCCTTTGAATATATCACCCCACTTGCCCTACTCCCTCAATCTTCTTCCTGAACTCCGTTCCACCAAACTGACCTCAATGACCCTCAGATAGGTCTGGTGCCATCTCTTTCTATCTTTGCTCGTTCATCCATTGATCTTCTTTTGTAAGTGTTTATTGATTGTCTTCTCTCTGTCAGGCACCGGGCCAAGCACTAGAGACACAGAAGTGGACAATAACACTCACCATCCCTGTTCTTATGAAATTGCCTCCAAGGGGCCAACAGAAATTCTACCCTGTTTGATGGCCTGCTCAAGCACCACATCTTCATGAAGCCTTTCCTGATGCCATTCCACACTAGACTTCCTTCACTGGTGAAGCTTTCTTCTCTATTAGACTTTTTAGGTTTTCGAAATTAAGTTATGAAATTGCATTTTTTTGTTCTTAGGTTTTAATCATTAGGCATTATTAAGTTTTCATATGTTTCATCCTTACAACTAAAAAAGACAAAAGATTTCTTCTGCACTATCATAGAAGTTGCCTAATTTTAAGACTGTGCTTTGAGTTAATAATTTTTGCTGTTGAGTTTTCCCTTTTACTTTAAGCTTTCCAGCACTTATAGACTCAGGTATCAGAGATTTGGCCTTGAATTTCTCAAATCCCTCACACTGTCTTTTGGCAGCAGCTACTTGGCACCTAATATTTAGTCTTCACTGAGCATTCTAGTCAACCTCAAGAGATGACTCAGTCAGCTGTTTGACTATCCACTGCTTTCACTGAATGCAAGAACATCCCCAAGATATCAGTTTTTTCACTTCCTTCAGCTCCAATCTGGCCTCAAACCACACATGGTCCCCCTGCCTCCATTTACCTGAATGATTGTTGCCTGAAAACAATCCTGTCCCAATTTCGATAGCAGTCACATCATTAGCTGCTGAAACAATCTTATTCTAACTTAAAGCAAAAAATACATTTATTTACTAGTTAGCTCTCAGAATCAATGGAATGACTAAAAAACTGACACTCAGAAATAGGCAGGAGAAGCACAGACATAATTACACCATGGAACTAACTCTGTAATAACATACTGCTGCCAACGGTGGCAACAATGTCACCGGATGGACCCAAGACAAAGTCTCAATCCCAGATCAACTGTCCCAGCTCTGAACAGGCAGACAGTCTGTAGACACAGTGAGGAAAATATCCGCCCAGCCTGGCCTGTGTGTCCTGTTTACTCCGAGTCAGGAGAGGAACCCATCCTGGCACTCTCATTGGCCTGTGCATTCACCTCATCTGGGCAGGGCTCAAAGCCTAGCCATTCCCCAAACTATGCTTGGCTCTCTCCCCAAGTACTCTGCTCCAAGCGCTAGGACCTGAGGAAGTCAAGAACCTTCCAGCCAGGAAACATGAGCACAATAGTGCCTGTACTGTTGTCTCTGCTGCTCCTTCTGAGTCCTGCAGTCTCCCAGGAGACCCAAGATGGTGAGTGGGGAAGCAAGGGCTGTGTACGAAGAAGAATGAAGGGGTGGTAATGAATGCAATAGATGGGCTGAGAAAACAGACCCTATTGCAGCTGGGAAACGCAAGTGTGCTCTGGGAACGGGTGTCTGAAGCTGTCACCTAAGTCAGCTCGCTCACTTCTAGGAGCATTCAAGGAGCCTCTGGACTCATGCTAAATAAGACCTTAAGAATCACTCTCTAAAATTCTTAGTTGTCAGATGAACAAAATCAAGACCCGGAGAGGCAAAATGACCTTCCAGTGATCATACAGCCAGGACAGAGAAGGAGCCACACAGGAAGAAATTCTTGTTCCTTCCCTCCTTCCCATGGCTGAATGTACCGGTCTGACTCTCAGGGAGAGAAACAGAACCACAAAGAGCAAATGTGAAGGCAGGTTAATTGGAAGGGTGGTGCTGGAAAAATATCTTTTTCCCACTCCACAGATAGACACTATGACAGGGAGCCGGCAAGCCTAGTGACTAGGAGAGAAGCTGGCCAGAGGTTGGGAAGAGCCAGAGTCAATTTTAAGACAAAGTATGAGGCTGTTTTTTGGCACACAGAACTTCAAAATGAAGAAATGTAAGCTAAACTGTGCAAGCTTAGAATTCGTTACATTTTCACACTGTCCAAATATGTGTTTTATAACAATTGATTGTGTTTAGAATGTTAATCACATCCTACACCAAAATCTAATTTAGTCATGGTTTTCCAGAGAAATAGAATAATAGTCTGTACACGCAGAGAAAAAGGGGTTTATTTTAAGGATGTGGCTCACACAGTTGTGGGGGCTGACAAGTCTGAAATCTGCAGGGTAGGTCAGCAGATTGGAGACTCAGAGAAGAGATGATGCTGCAGTCTGGGGTCCAAGGCAATCTAGAGGAGGAATTTCTTCTTCTTTTGGGGACTTCGGTCTTTTCTCTTCTGGCCTTCAACTGATTCGATGAAGCAAACCCACATTATGGCGGGTATTCTGCTTTACTCGATATCTACTGAGCAAAATGGTAATCACACTTAGAAACTAATTAGCAACTTCAGTACTGAAACTAAGAATCTGCCATTTGACCTCCAATGTTAGTAACACCCATGAGAGTTATATGCTGAATACATTATGGAACTAATTATGAAAATGTCCTTTCCTTTTCCAGTCCCTGCCTCACACCTAAATGCAGGGAGAGCCCTGGGAATTCTAAAATCCATTCTGGTCTTACCCTGTGCTGATTCATTCTGGGTCATTTCCTGAGGTTTCTACTCAGTTCTCCTTCCTACACTTTCTAACTGTATGCATTTGTCAAGATCAACTAGGTTATGCCCCGGTAACAAATACTATTTTAGTGGCTTGACCCAACAAATATTTATTTCTTGCTCACATAAACTTGAATACTTTACATGAGCAAGACAATGCCTCTGACCAAAAGAAAGACATCACTTCCACTCACACTCCCTTTTGACGAACTCGACCATATTGTTCCAATATACCTACAAGGGGGCTAAGAAATAAGGTCTTCGATGTGCCAAGAGAAGAAACTATGTAGCGAAGACACAAAATGGACTCTGAAATATCATCCCCAGAATAGAAGTAGAGCCCATTCTCTCGAGTGAAGTTCCAACAGTGTCAGGATGACAGCAAGTGGATCAAGGTCCAGTGACCAGTTCACTTTTCCTGGTCCTCTGCTGCCCCACGTTGCCGCTCTCCTTCATGTACCCCATTTCTTAAAGTTTTCTCCTCTTTTGCAGGGCCTTACTCTCTGACCTTCCACTCCATCGGGGTGTCCACGCTTGCTGAAGGCCTCCCCGGCTTTCAGGCCACTGGCTTCCTCAATGACCAGCCCTTCTTCCACTATGATATTGAGAGCGGAAAGGCTGAGCCTCTGGGCCCATGGAGACAAGTGGAAGGAATGGAGGACTGGGAGGAAGTAAGTAAACGTCAGAAGGCAAGGGGGGACTTCTTTCTGAAGAATCTGAAAGACATCATGGACTACAAAAAGGACAGAGGTCAGTGGACTGTGGACTGCTGGGGTGGAGGGTCTTAAGAGGCAGCCCAAGAGGTAGTACTGCGATTGTGAACGGAAAGGGGTCTGCAGGATGGAAATACTCCTCATACCGAAGGAGGGACCAAAAGCACTTTTAGAAATTCACAGGCATTTCTTATCCTCCTCCCCATTGCTTCCCCCATCCTCACTCCAGGCCTCAACTTTCACAGGAAGTGGAGTTAGAATCAGCCCTTATCCAGGCACATCTAATCATTTAGCTCCACACCCCCACCCATCTGAGACGGATCCCGTTTTAGAAGTTGTCAGACTCATCCCCATACAGGATATTAGGTGGAGAGTGAGCTAACGTGGAGGTCATTCTGACTAGGGTTCACGTGGTGGCTCTGCCAGTCACTAGCTCTTTGACAGTGAACATGTTCTTAATTATCTGGTCCGAATCTGTAAATATTGGAGCATTGAGTCCTGCCTCCAAGAGATGCCATGAAACTAATCTAGGTAAATTCCATGTGGGCTCTAACGTAGCCTATTTGATCTCCCCTAGAGCTCCCATCACCTAGGACAGCCAATAATAGTTGCTCAATTGAAATATGCTTAATAACTGAAAGTAGCTAGCACAAACGACAGCTCATACTAGGAGCTTAGGAAGGGTTGAATTCAAAATCACATACTGTTGGTGTTTCATAAAAATCATCAAGACACTCCTGTCCACAAGGAGCAGAATAGGGAGGGAAAGATCTGTGTGCTTGTGGTGTAAGGAGCCAGTACAGAGCAGAATGCAGAGACTAGTTCTCATGTCTCTCAGCCCAGCATTCTTTCTCCTAATCCACACTGCCTACCCCGCAAGTCAGCCAACTGCAGGTATGGCAAACTGGTGATTTTAAATTACTATAGGGTGAGTGTCAAAAGGTGTGTTTCTGAATACAAAAAGATGCCCAAGAAGCTACATGAAATCTGAAAGTTTCCAAAAGGAGGCAAGAGTTGTGCAGAAATCTGAAGAATGTGGAGTGGGAAGCCCTGGTAAGAAAACAACCTGGCTGTGCTCAGAAATAGGGGAAGATGAGGCACAGATGCCCGGGAAGGACAGCAGAACAAAGTTCGACTGGCAGAAATAGAAATGTCAGTGTGAGTTATCATGAGTAAAAGAGGATAAAGAGATGAACACAGGGGATTACAAAATAATAAGAGCTAACATTTATTGAGCACTATGTACTAGGCACATGTATTGATGCATTTAATGACCACAATAACTCTCTTACATAGTGCTATTGTTATTTTCATTTCAGAGATGAGAAAAATGAAGCACAACAGGTTATTGGCTCAAGTTCATGCAACAAGCCAGATGGTGATAGAGACAGATCTGGGATTTGAGCTCAGATAGCTTGGTATCAGAGCCTGTGCCATAGCATTAATCAGTATCGGGTAAACACCTACTTTTATAATCAAAATAAAGTGGTTCTGTCTTCCTTTCCTAAGGAGGTTGATATCTAAGAGTTGTTTCTGGCTGAGAAGGGAGGTGGGCATTAGAGATTTGTTTGATGATATCAAACAACAGAAAAAAAGAGAAGAATCGATCAAATTATGTTGACTCAACTGGAGACATCAATTCCACATAGAACTGGAAAAATAAAGAGATTGCACAATTTTAAGCTACGAATAAGTTCTATTTCAATGGGCAATGCACTTCTGGTGCTTGTGTCTAGTTGCTAAGAACTCACAGTATACTCAAACTAAGTTCATTAAGAGAGGCTGCATGGGGATAGATCTGTCCACAGACTGTAGCTCTCTGAAATCCCCTGGGTAAGAAGAATGTATCTCATCTCAGACCAGCCTAAAACACCAAAGGAAACCAAGTTTCCCTCTCTGTCTCTTATAACCTATTTGTCAAGATAAAGGGGTTTTATGCTTAGATTTCAAAATCCTTTCTCACCGTTGGGTTGCAAACTGTGGAGGAGTAAGTTATTACGACAGAGTTGATGCCAGGCTAACTGATTTCTGGGGGTTTGTGTTGATGCAGGGAATCACACCATGCAGGAAAAGTTCGGTTGCAAGCTTCGGAATAACACATATTGTGGGGCATTCTGGACGGTTGCGTACGATGGACAGGACTACATCAAGTTCAACACAGAAATTCCAGCCTGGATCCCCCTGCAAAAGGCAGCTCTGAACACCAAGGTGAAGTGGGAGACAGAAGGCTCTGTTCAGCGGGCAAAGGCCTCCCTCAAAGAAGAGTGCCCCCAGATGCTGCGGAGGTACCTGCAGTATAGCAGGATCTATCTGGACCGACAAGGTACCCACTGTTACCTATGTCCTGTTCCACCATGGTGAGCTGAGAAAGACCAAGGTGGTCCCAGGATGGGAAGACAGGGGAACATCTCAGGAAAAATCTGTAGTCATTTCTCTTCAATATGCTTCCTTCTTAGCTGTGGGGAGAAACAGGCATGTAAAATGTCTGCCTGGGAAGGGTGAGGATGAGTAAGTGTGAACAAGATTGTCATGAGCTGAGACTTTGGTTTAAGAAGTAATAAAGGGAAGCAGGTAAGGATCTGAAGAGCAGAACTGCAGGCAGAACTAAGGGGTGGGGCTGAGACTGGGAGAGGCAGAAGCCACAAAGTCCACTGAAAGTTTGAGGAAATAATAGAAAAATGTATGCAGCTTTCACAGTTACTTGCCATCAGAAGTCAACATATGGGGTTAAGGATGGGGGAGCACCAGAAAGTAAGAGAGTAACCTCGAACATTCTCAGATCTAACAGGAAAGGCTCCTGGAAAGCCTCACCTTCCTTGATTTTTGTAAACTTTTCCTCAGATAGAGAGCTGAGAGCTCTGCTCATTCTTGACTCCAGGGGTGGGGGAGACATGAGCAGGGACAGAGTCCTTCAGACCCTCAACCTCCACACTCTATTCCTCCACAGATCCTCCCTCTGTGTCAATCACCAGCTACGTGGGCCCAAGAAACAAGAGGACCCTCAGGTGCCTGGCCTACAATTTCTACCCACAGCCAATCAGTCTGTACTGGACTCGGGCCAGCAATGTGGTGGAGAATGAGTTATGGGGAGACGTTGCTCTCAGTGAAAATGGTACTTACCAGTCCTGGGTGTCAGTGAAGATCCCCTCTCGGGACACAGGCCCCTACTTCTGCCACGTGCAGCACAGCAGCCTGGCCCAGCCCCTCACCGTCCCATGGAATGAGAGACAAGAAGTGAGGGCTGAAGACGCTTCAGAGTCTCAAGACCAATAGCCATCCTTTCTTCTGGACAAGAGCTCCAGAATCACTGCCAACGCTATCAGCGAGGCCCAGGAAAACAGCAAAGGGGACAAGTGGTGGAATTGGAAACATAAGACTAGAACACTGGGCACTGAGTTGACTCACTGCTACATTGCCTAATCAACACTAATTGACTAGCCTACACACAAAATAAATCAGATTATTAAATGATTAAATGCTATGAAATGTCAGTAGATTTTGTCATTCATCCTGCCCCTAAGCATTTGATTTGTCTGATATTCTTGGTATAATCTACTGGAAGCAATGTCTACTGGACATCTTGACCTGAGGTCCCCACTGTAGCATGGTATGACCACCTGGTCCCTTGAGCATTGTTCAGGTGCCCACTACTGATGTCTCCTCTGGTCCTAAGGTCATAGAACTCTGCAACCTCTTTAATACAATCCTCAGTTTCCCCAGCAGTCCCTTGTCCCCTGCGAGACACTGTCCTCCACTCCAGCTACTCCATGTCTCCCACATTATGTTGGCTTTGGGGCCACTCACAACATAGCTTATTTGATGGGCTTCATCTCTCCAGGACACACTCTCAGGAAAGCAAGAAGCGTGAACTTGCCTAAATTTCAGTGGAGGTTGTTTTGCAGTTTAATATTTTAATTAATTTATTTATCTTAATTAGTTTCAAGTATATAGTACATTGGTTAGACATCTATATAGTTCATAAAACAACCCACCCCCACCCCCCACAGTTGCTCTCTTTCTCCCCTGGCCCTCCACCTAGCCAACACATTAATACTAACTGCATTCCCTGTGCCGTGCTCCCCATCCCTGTGACCATTCATCAACTACTAATTTGTACTTCTTTAACCCTTCGCTTCATTCTCCCAGCCTGCAACTCCACCCCTGTTCCTCACCAAATTGTTCGCTATATTAATGAGTCTGTTTTTTATTAGTTTGTTCTTTTTGCTACTTAGATTCCGCACATAAGTGAAATCATATAGTGTTTATCTTTCTCTGTCTGACTTAAATACCTTCTAGGTCCATCAAGGCAATATCTTTTTCCATTCCCTTCCTTTTAGTCTGTGTGTGTCTTTTAATCTGAAATGAGTCTCTTGTGGGCAGTACGTAGGGGTCTTGTTTTCTTATCCATTCAGCCACTCTATCTTTTAGTTGGAGCACTTAATTCTTTTCCATTTGAAGTACTTATTGATAGGAATGTAGTTGTTATGATTCTTTATTCCTTGTTTTGATACATGTTTTTTCTTCTTAAAGAAGTCCCTCCAACATTTCCTGTAATACTGGCTTGGTGGTGATAAATTCCTTTAGCTTATTTTTGTCTGGGAAGCTCTTTATCTGCCCTTCAACTCTAAATGATAGCCTTGCTGGATAAAGTATTCGTTGTAGATCCTGGATCTTCATCACATCAAATATTTTATGCCGAGCCCTTCTGTCCTGCATAGTTTCTTTTGAGAAATCAGCTGCCAGTCTTATGGGTGCTCCCTTGTAGGTAACTAACTGCTTTTCTATTGCTGCTTTCAAAATTCTCTCTTTGTATTTAAACTTTGGTATTTCAATTATGATGTGTCTTGGTGTGGGCCTCTTTGGATTCCTGGTTTGGGGAATTCTCTGAGTGTCCTGGGGTTGTATGTCTATTTCCTTCACCAAGTTAGGAAAGTTTTCCATCATTATTTCCTCAAATAGCTGTTCAACAGCTTGTTTTCCTTCCTGTATGCTGATGAGACAAATATTTTTACCTTTAATAGTGTCCAATAGGCTCCTTAAATTATTATAGTCTTGGCTCTTTTTTCCTTGCCATTCTGATTGAGTGTCGTTGGCTTTCCCATCCTCTATATAGGTCATTTGATCCTCTTCTTTATTCATTTTATTTATTCTTTTGTTTATTCCATTTAATATACTTCTCATCTCAGATGATATGTTCTTGATTTCTGACTGGTTCCCTTTTATAATTTCAGTTTTCATTTTTATGTATTTATCTCTTTGTTGAAGTTCTCATTGAATTTATCTACACCTCCCATAAGTTCATTGAACATCTTTATAACCAGTGTTTTAAACTCTACATCTGTTAGATTGTTTGATTCCATTATTTCTGGATCTCTATTCTGTTCTCTCATATGGTTTCTGCTTCTTTGTCTTCTCATTTGGCTGCTTTTCCATATCTGTTTCTATGTACTAAGCAAAGCTCCTAAGTTTCCCAGTCTTATTAGTGTGGATTTGTATAGTAGGTGTCCAGTGGCATAGTCCTGAGAGGGGTTCAGCTGTAGGCCAAATTTAGCCCAAGCCTCTGCCCCTTCAGGGCCACCTGTTAAGATTCAGCAAGCAATCCACAGATGCTATGTTTATAGTTCCCTCAAAAGGCCACACTAGAAATCAAAGCCAGCTGCCTCCAGTGTGAGTCTAGGTGCTACTCAGCAAGGAGCACCTGACTCGCTGAGGACATACCTGGATGTGTCTTGGGTGGGGCCATGAGTCAGGGGAGGTGGAGTTTCAGGGAATCCTCTGGGTGGAGTAACCTCTGTTATCCAGTTTGATGACTTCTCTACTATGGCGGCGCTGAGTCTGCACACTGGGAGTGGGGAGGGCTCAACAGAGGAACAATGGATACTGCCAACACTTCTGTGCAGAGTGAGTCTCGCCTTGGCCTTTACTCCAACAACTCAGTGTCTCCCTGTAAGTCCCTGGTGTTTCCTGTGCACAGCGGAACCGACACTGATGCTCAGAGCAAGCAGGTCCATCCCAGGGAAAGTCCACTTGCAGGCACGGCCCCTTTAAGAGGCGTCTGCAGCTGCCAGCTACCGCTGCCATAGCCTCCGTCCCACCCAGCCACTTGGGACCAGACAGCTTCGCGTCCTTACCCCGTCCTACCTTCTGCCATTGAGGAGTGATGATTTCTTAGATTTCTCCCTAGTTGTGTGGCTTGTTCATCTAGATCTCAGGTGATTTTTCCTTGTTGTTTGCTCTTTGTCTCCATCACAACTTTGATTTGGTCACCAGAGGGATTAACAGAGCCTCTGTCATCTACGTCATTTCTTCCCTTCAGTGTATTTTTTTTAATTGAGTCACTCAGAATTGTGCACAGATTTAAGCCCAAAACAGAGCAGCAATCTCACAATGGACAGTTTATTAAGCCTTAACAGCCTATGATAGTTTTTCCTCCTGCGTGATAATACCCTCCTTCATGTTCCATCTTAAGCTTCCCATTCCATGTTACTCCAGCCTCCCTTCTAAGCTCAGCTTCCTATAAAAATCATTACCAGCCATCAGAATTCTGAGCCAACACTTTTATCTTTCTTGAAAACCTAAATTGCAGGTTTGTAGGATTGGTTGTTGTTGTTTGTTGTTGTTGTTGTTGTTTTGAGACTTTGATCCAATTTAAAAATCAAGATACTGATACTGAGGTACTTTCTATAGTCTATGTAAAAATCCACATTTCCTTCTTCTGCGCAGAAATAATGTCCTGTCTGAACATCAAGAGGGCTGCAGGGAACAAAATCCAACTAGTCAAGAAGGAACCATGCATGATAGCTAATTTAAAGTTTATGACACATTGGAAAAAAATGTAAAATAAGTGACAGAAGAAAAATATTAGATTAATGAGGAAACCCAAAGTCCACATGAACAGGTCAGGGCCAAGGAAGATTGAAATGTGAGATTCTAGTCCACCTGTGACAGGAGTGATGGGGCCCAAATGGACAAGGAAAGGACACCTCAGAAGACCTGAGTCCTGGCCGGGTGTGGGGAAGAAGGAGAGGGCACAGAGCCTTTCACAAATCCAGAGAAACTTCCTGGAAAGATTCAAGTTTCAGAGGAGTTGTGAAAGGCTATGATAGCTTGCCAAGAAGAGACAGAAAGATTGCTGCAGACCAGGAGGGTATGAGGCAGCTGAGAGGGGAGGGTCACAAAGTCCTAATATGGAAGTGACCTGAATTTGGGGCCTGGCCACAAGCATTGACTGGTCACACCAGGAAGGACATAGGGGTCCAGAGAACTAAATGTGGGTCCTTCCAAGGTCACTTCTAGCCCACCGACCACAGATCACCAGCAGATTCCCCTACAGGACTGGACCAACTTCAAGTGCACTTTCAGGATGTCCCACTCCAAGAGAGCCTCATTGCCACAAATTATCTCCTCCTTAACAAGTCCTCAGTCACTTTAAAATAGCATGTTGCTCTGCATCTGGGGAACCCCTCTATAAAAAGCCCACCGGCTCCCAAGGGTGCATGGAAAGACCTTCATTTCCATGTAACTGGCTTCCTCTTTGTTCTATGTGTTTTATGTAATGCATTAAAAATTATCATGAAAGGAAACAATAAACAAATAATTTCTCAAAGTTAAGAAAAATAAAACTTGTCTTGGCAAGAGAGTAGATGGCACCAAAGACTAAGAACTGCTGACCTAGAGGGATGTGGTGCGCAGAGAACACAGGCTGTGAGGGAAAAGACGCAGTAGTGGGATGTGCTCATTCATTGGAAGCACTGGAAGCTCATTGGATGGGGGCCCTCCAGAATCTGACTCCAACTTCCCCTTTGAATATATCACCCCACTTGCCCTACTCCCTCAATCTTCTTCCTGAACTCCGTTCCACCAAACTGACCTCAATGACCCTCAGATAGGTCTGGTGCCATCTCTTTCTATCTTTGCTCGTTCATCCATTGATCTTCTTTTGTAAGTGTTTATTGATTGTCTTCTCTCTGTCAGGCACCGGGCCAAGCACTAGAGACACAGAAGTGGACAATAACACTCACCATCCCTGTTCTTATGAAATTGCCTCCAAGGGGCCAACAGAAATTCTACCCTGTTTGATGGCCTGCTCAAGCACCACATCTTCATGAAGCCTTTCCTGATGCCATTCCACACTAGACTTCCTTCTCTGGTGAAGCTCTTATTGGCACCCATCTCAGCACCAATCGTACAAGATAGGTAGGAGTCTCTTGATCACATTTGGTTTTCAAATTTACTAGGTTTTGCAATTAAAATAGGAAACCTCATTTTTTGTTCTTAGGTTTTAATCATTAGGCCTTATTAAATTTTCATCTTTCATCCTTGCCTCTAGAAAAGACAAAAGAATTCTTCTGTATCATAGAAATTCCTTGCTTTTCAGACTATGCTTTGGGTCCATAATTTCTGCTTCTGAGTTTATTATACTTTTCTTTCATTTTTCCAGCATTTATGGTCTCCACCATTCCAGATTTAGTCCTTGAAGTTGCAGCTTCTTCACAATGTCCTATGGTAGCATCCTCTGGGGAACTAAAATTTTGCCTTCAATTAACATTATGTTTTAGTCGATAACAGGAGATAATTCAATTATCTGTTTGACTTTCCACTGCATATCAAGTCCTGTAAGAACCTCCTCAAGATATCCATATCTTCATTATCTTCGGCCTCAATCTGGCCCCATAACCACCTATGGTTCCTTCCATTTCCCTAAGCAACTGTTGCCTGAAAACAACATTGCCCCAATAATTACCCCAATATTCTTAGCAGTCATATCATTAGTTGCTGAAACACAATCATTTTCTGACTTTAAGCAGAAAATACATTTATTTACCAATTAGCTCTCAGAATCAATGGAGAGACTCAGAGGTCGTTAGGAGAAGGACAGTCCAAATTACACTGTGAAAGCAGTACTGTAAATACATTTCCTGCCAACAGAAGCAACAAATACCACAACATGAACCCATGACAAAGACCCAATCACAGACAGCTCTTTCAGCTCTAAATTGGCTGACCATATGTAGACTCATTGGCCACAACATCCGCCTGGTTTCTATATCCTGTTCTTTCACAGTCAGGAGAGGATACCATTCTGGCACTCTCGCTGGCCTGTACATTCACCTCATCTGGGCAGGGCTCAAAGTCTAGCCATTCCCTAAAGTATAAATGGCTCTCTCTCCACGAGATCAGCTCCAGGACCTGGGAAAGTCCAGTACCTTCCTCCCAGGCACAACGAGCACAATGGTCCCTGTCCTGTTTTCTCTGCTGCTCCTTCTGAGTCCTGCAGTCTCCCAGGAGACCCAAGATGGTGAGTGGGGAAGCAAGGGCTGTGTACGAAGAAGAATGAAGGGGTGGTAATGAATGCAATAGATGGGCTGAGAAAACAGACCCTATTGCAGCTGGGAATCGCAAGTGTGCTCTGGGAACGGGTGTCTGAAGCTGTCACCTAAGTCAGCTCGCTCACTTCTAGGAGCATTCAAGGAGCCTCTGGACTCATGCTAAATAAGACCTTAAGAATCACTCTCTAAAATTCTTAGTTGTCAGATGAACAAAATCAAGACCCGGAGAGGCAAAATGACCTTCCAGTGATCATACAGCCAGGACAGAGAAGGAGCCACACAGGAAGAAATTCTTGTTCCTTCCCTCCTTCCCATGGCTGAATGTACCGGTCTGACTCTCAGGGAGAGAAACAGAACCACAAAGAGCAAATGTGAAGGCAGGTTAATTGGAAGGGTGGTGCTGGAAAAATATCTTTTTCCCACTCCACAGTTAGACACTATGACAGGGAGCCTGCAAGCCTAGTGACTAGGAGAGAAGCTGGCCAGAGGTTGGGAAGAGCCAGAGTCAATTTTAAGACAAAGTATGAGGCTGTTTTTTGGCACACAGAACTTCAAAATGAAGAAATGTAAGCTAAACTGTGCAAGCTTAGAATTCGTTACATTTTCACACTGTCCAAATATGTGTTTTATAACAATTGATTGTGTTTAGAATGTTAATCACATCCTACACCAAAATCTAATTTAGTCATGGTTTTCCAGAGAAATAGAATAATAGTCTGTACACGCAGAGAAAAAGGGGTTTATTTTAAGGATGTGGCTCACACAGTTGTGGGGGCTGACAAGTCTGAAATCTGCAGGGTAGGTCAGCAGATTGGAGACTCAGAGAAGAGATGATGCTGCAGTCTGGGGTCCAAGGCAATCTAGAGGAGGAATTTCTTCTTCTTTTGGGGACTTCGGTCTTTTCTCTTCTGGCCTTCAACTGATTCGATGAAGCAAACCCACATTATGGCGGGTATTCTGCTTTACTCGATATCTACTGAGCAAAATGGTAATCACACTTAGAAACTAATTAGCAACTTCAGTACTGAAACTAAGAATCTGCCATTTGACCTCCAATGTTAGTAACACCCATGAGAGTTATATGCTGAATACATTATGGAACTAATTATGAAAATGTCCTTTCCTTTTCCAGTCCCTGCCTCACACCTAAATGCAGGGAGAGCCCTGGGAATTCTAAAATCCATTCTGGTCTTACCCTGTGCTGATTCATTCTGGGTCATTTCCTGAGGTTTCTACTCAGTTCTCCTTCCTACACTTTCTAACTGTATGCATTTGTCAAGATCAACTAGGTTATGCCCCGGTAACAAATACTATTTTAGTGGCTTGACCCAACAAATATTTATTTCTTGCTCACATAAACTTGAATACTTTACATGAGCAAGGCAACTTTCCCATCCTCTAAGGGGTGACAAGGATCCTGGCTATTTGCATCTTGGGACTCTTCTGTTTCATCCTGTGTCCTCAACAGTCATTGCCAAGATAGAAGAGAGACAGAGGTGGGTCAAACCAGCTAACAAGGCCTCTGACCAAAAGAAAGACATCACTTCCACTCACACTCCCTTTTGACGAACTCGACCATATTGTTCCAATATACCTACAAGGGGGCTAAGAAATAAGGTCTTCGATGTGCCAAGAGAAGAAACTATGTAGCGAAGACACAAAATGGACTCTGAAATATCATCCCCAGAATAGAAGTAGAGCCCATTCTCTCGAGTGAAGTTCCAACAGTGTCAGGATGACAGCAAGTGGATCAAGGTCCAGTGACCAGTTCACTTTTCCTGGTCCTCTGCTGCCCCACGTTGGGACTCTCTTGCATATAACTCATACCTTAATATCCTTTTTTGCAGGGCCTTACTCTCTGAGCTACCTCTACACAGGAGTGTCTAGGCCTGCTAAGGGCCTCCCCGGCTTTCAGGCCACTGGCTTCCTCAATGACCAGCCCTTCTTCCACTATGATAGTGAAAGTGGAAAGGCTGAGCCCCTAGGCCCATGGAAACAGGTGGAAGGAATGGAGGACTGGGAGAAGGAGAGTAAACTTCAGAAGGCAAGGGGGGACTTCTTCCTGAAGAATCTGAAAGACATCATGGACTATAAAAAGGACAGAGGTCAGTGGACTGTGGTCTGCTGGGGTGGAGGGTCCAAGAGGCAGCCCTGCAATTGCGAGTGGAAAGGGAACTGGAGAATGGAAATACTTCTTATCTAAAAGAGGAGTGGAAGCTCAAGTAGAAATATACAGACATTTCTGCAGCCTACTCCCCAACAACACACCTGCTCTCTCCTTCCCCATCACTTTCCCCATCCTCACTCACGCCTCAGCTCTCACAGGAAGTGAAGTTAGAATCAGCCCTTATCCAGGCACATCTGATCATTCAGCTCCACATCCCCACCCATCTGAGGCAGATTCCATTTCAGAAGTTGTTAGACTCATCCTTGTAAAGGATATTGGGTGGGGAGTGAGCTAACTTGGGGGTCATTCTGACCAGGGTTCACGTGGTGGCTCTGCCAGTCACTAGCTCTTTGACAGTGAACATGTTCTTAATTATCTGGTCTGAATCTGTAAAAATTGGAGCATTGAGTCCTGCCTCTAAGAGATGCCATGAAACTTATCTAGGTAAATTTCATGTGGGCTCTATATAGCCTGTCTTGATCTTCCCTGGAGCTTCCATCACTAAGACAGCCAATAATAGTTGCTCAAATGAAATAAAGAGGCTTGTCCTCCCTTTTCTACAAAAGCCAATTTCCTAGAGTTTTTGCTAATTAGGAAGAGAGGTAGGTATTAGAGGTTTTTTGAAGGTATTGAACACAAGGAAAAAGGGAAGAATTGATCAAATTATGTTGACTCGACTGGAGACATCAACTCCACATAGAAATAGAAAAAAAAAGAGATCTCACAATCTATTTTAAGCTACAAATAATTTCTATTTCAATGGGCAACTTGTGTCTAGTTGCTAAGAACTAACAGTTTACTGGAAAAGTTCATTAAGAGATGCTGCATGGGGATAGATCTGTCTACAGTCTGTAGTTCCTTGAAATTCCCTAGGTAGGAAGAATGTATCTCATCTCAGACTGGCCTAAAACACCAAACCAAACCAGGTTTCCCTCTCTGTCTCCTCTATGTCTGGCCAATAACCCATTTGCTTAGATTTCAAAACCCTTCTTATTATTGGGAGGAGTAAGAGTTATTACGATGGAGTTGATGCCAGGCTGACTGATTTCTGGGGGGTGCGTTGATGCAGGGAATCACACCTTTCAGGGGAGGTTCGGTTGTGAGCTCCGGAATAATACATACTGTGAGGCATTCTGGAGGTATGCTTATGACAGACGGGACTACATCAAGTTCAACACAGAAATTCCAGCCTGGATCCCCCTGCAAAAGGCAGCTCTGAACACTAAGGTGAAGTGGGAGACAGAAGGCTCTGTGCAAGCGGCAAAGAACTACCTGGAAGATGAGTGCCCCCAGATTCTACAGAAGTACTTGCAATACAGCAAGAATTACCTGGACCGGCAAGGTACCCATTGCTCCCTATGTTCTATTCCCTGACACTGAGCTAAGAACGTCAAGGTGATCCCAGGCTGGGAGCTCAGGGGAACATCTCAGACAAATCCTATGTTCATTTCTCTCTGTGAGATGCCTCCTGGATTGTCTGTGGGGAAAAGACTGGTGTGTAAAACATCTGCCTAGAAAAGATGAAGACAAGTAAGGCTCAAACTAGGAGAGGCAGGAGCCACAAATCCCATGGGAGGTTTGAGGGAAAACAACAACAACAAACAGAAAAATGGGCATTCACAATTTCTTGCCATCAGAAGTCAGTACACGGAAGGGGTGGGGTTAGGGGTGGGGTTAGGGCAGGTTGTACTGGACAGCAAGAAAGTACCCTCGAACATTCCCAGATCTAACAGGAAAGGCTCCTGGAAAGCCTCACCTTCCTTGATTTTTGTAAACTTTTCCTCAGATAGAGAGCTGAGAGCTCTGCTCATTCTTGACTCCAGGGGTGGGGGAGACATGAGCAGGGACAGAGTCCTTCAGACCCTCAACCTCCACACTCTATTCCTCCACAGATCCTCCCTCCGTGTCAATCACCAGCTACGTGGGCCCAAGAAACAAGAGGACCCTCAGGTGCCTGGCCTACAACTTCTACCCACAGCCAATCAGTCTGTACTGGACTCGGGCCAGCAATGTAGTGGAGAATGAGTTATGGGGAGACGTTGCTCTCAGTGAAAATGGTACTTACCAGTCCTGGGTGTCAGTGAAGATCCCCTCTCGGGACTCAGGCCCCTACTTCTGCCACGTGCAGCACAGCAGCCTGGCCCAGCCCCTCACCGTCCCATGGAATGAGAGGCAGGAAGTGAGGGTTGAAGATGCTGCAGAGTCTCAAAACCAGTAGCCATCCTCTCTTCTGGACATAAGAGATATGAGCTCTAGAATCACTGCCAACGCCATCAGTGAGGCCCAGGGAAGCAGCAAAGGGGACAGGTGGTGGAATTGGAAACACAAGACTAGAACACTGGGCACTGAGCTGACTCTCTGCTACATTGCCTAATCAACACTAATTGACTAGCCTACACACAAAATAAATCAGATTATTAAATGATTAAATGCTATGAAATGTCAGTAGATTTTGTCATTCATCCTGCCCCTAAGCATTTGATTTGTCTGATATTCTTGGTATAATCCACTGGAAGCAATGTTTACTGGACATCTTGACCTGGGTACGACCACCTAGTCCCTTGAGCATTGTTCAGGTGCCCCCTTCTGATGTCTCCTCTGGTCCTAAGGTGATAGAACTCTGCAATCTCTTTAATACAATCCTCGGTTTCCCCAGCAGTCCTTTGTCCCCTGTGAGACACTGTCCTCCACTTCACTATTCTACCTCTCCCACATCATGTCAGCCTTGAGGCCATACACAACATAGCTTATGTGAGAGGCTTCATCCCTCCAGGATGCACTCCCAGGGAAGGAAGAATTGGCCTGATGTCGTTGTACTCTCCAAATTTACTTGAGTTTGTTTTTTTTTTTTTAATTGAGTTACACCATTATGCATAGGTTCAAGCCAAAAACAAAACAAAAAAAAAGGAGCAGAACTCCCATATATGACCTTTTTATTAAGCCTTGCTGCCACAAATTATCTTCTTAACAATTCCTCAGTTACTTAATACTACCTGGTCTCTCTCTGGAAGATTCTTTTAGGGATAGTTTACCAGACAGATGGAGTACTCTGAATTAGGCAGAAGATGCCGGCTGGAGTAAGGACTTAAAAACATACTGCACTAAAGCCCTCTTCAGTTTGGCTAAACACTGCTTTTCAACCTTTTTCCCACTAGAACTTGCTGTTCCAGCTAAATGGACCTTATTGTTCATCAGACATAGTGTTTTTTTCTCTATCCTTTGCTCATTTAATGGTGGACTCATTGAAGAATCATATATTGACTATCTTTTGTATGCTTGGTACTCTAATAAGCACTGGAGGCCCAGTAGAACAAGGTGGCTACAGCTCTTTTCTTCATGGAGTTTATGTCAATTCTTTTTATTAAAACAATATCCACTGTCAAGGTCCAGCTCAAATCTCACCTCCATCCATGACCACAGCCATGATAACCAATTGCAACATATACCCTTTTCATGCTGAGATTTCTTTCAGATAAAAATACCAGGAAAGATTTAAAGAAAGACACTCAAGTGAAGCCAGTCTCCATAATATCTAAGGATGTTGCAAGTGATCCCAGATCGCCCATCACCGATCTCCTTTTTTGTGCCTTCTCAACTGAAAGGAAAGGGAAATAAAATTGAAGAAATCAAAGATAGAGGTTGTGGGGGTGGGGGAGGATAAGAAAGACACAGAAATCAAATTTGCTAATTTCCGAATCCCAATTTAGTCTTTTTCTATTGCTTACTTTCAAAGTTTTGGTGCATCTATCCATCCATTTATTCATGCAATAAATGCTTAATGAATGTCTCTCAGTTATAAGATACTGAGATAGATATTTATACGGTAAAGAAATGAACCAGAAGTATATCATTCCACACAGTAATAAGTAAGGTCACAAAGGTGGTTTGGGGTCAAACTGGGGAGAGCTTTGAGCGATGCATTAAAGTTCTGATCTCTATTCTGAGTGTAACAGTTGAGGGCTCATTGATGGTAGGGTGACAAGATCAAAATTGCGATTCAGGAATACTAACCAGATATTAATGAGTACTGTGGATTAGAGGATAGGAGAGAAACTAGCTGCAGAAAGGCGCCCCCTTGTGACCTAAAAGCAAAGGTGCAGGCTGGCTGGGCTCACCTGAGTGGGGTCATCTGCTTGAGTTTCAGGCAATCTAATGGCTCCCATAGAATCTGATGAAGACAAGGTGGCTGGATTTATAACCTGGACAACAGGAGAGCACCAGGAAGTGGAAATGCTTTCAACTTAGGGGGTTAATAACCGCCATCAATCATTCTTCACCTAAAAGCTTGCAGAGATTGGAAGGAACCCCAGGTGGCCCAAACTGAAAAGACCAACTGAACTTTCCTCTAAAGCCCCAATGGCAGACAGCTCCTCCTGCCCCTGACTGCCCCAGAATGCAGAAGAGGGAAGACCCGCAGAGAGCCTCACCAGATCCCTTCTCCGCCAAGCATGCTACCCCTTGCTCTTATGTTAGTTTACTGTGTTGTATTTTATTTCATCTTATTTCATTTTCCTGTCACCATGTATGGAGATTTAAGAGTTCATCATAACTCTAAAGAACACATCACATGATCAGCCTGCGACAACTCAAGATCTCTTTGGTTTTCCTTTATGCGGTTATATTCCCAATTCATTCACATCCTCACATTGCACATTGCAGCCCCTTGGCTGCTTATAGGAGATCAGCCTCTGCCCCACACACCACCTTCTGCTGGTAGGTTCTCTTCCTGCTGGGCAAATGAGTCTGGGCGAGCAGCCTCAGAAGCTGCAGTAATGAGCACTTACTATTCTCTC